GACTCCAGTACTCGCCGATACCGAAATAAATAAAATTGCCCACTGGAAGACGCCATACAGCCGCTGTAGCAATCTAGAACATTTACAAAAAATCATATCTAATGCAATAACTTTCCTCAGTTCATAAACACCTCTTATACGGAGACCATGTTCATCATGTTGTTTTATTTATTAGTTTGTATTGTGATTTACTATGATGTGTTTTAACCAACTTATGAGGCAAATGGCAAAAAAAAAAAAAACAAAGGCAAATTTTCACATTTGTTGACAATAAAGATTATTATTACTATTAATCAGAACACAATGTTGTTTTTATTCAGAAGATTAGCTTCCCTTTTCTGCTGGGCTTCCTTTATTGTAAACAATAGTTAACGCCTATGTTTTATAGATCTTGTTTGTTACCCCTGCCGAATGCAGGTGAGGTCAGTTTGTTGTTATATCATGTGCCAGCATGTGCCATAAAAGTTTGTTTAAAAAAATAGTCTCTAAGCACAAATATATTTAAGATAAATTAGCTGATAAAAATGATCCTGATTCTAATAAGGGAGGATGTGGGGTCTCCAGTGGGATCCAGCTGGGATTATTTTCTAATGACTGATAAGAAGCATCATTGAAACAGAAAACTATAATTACAATAGATTCCGTGACTAAACCGAATGTAAAACAACACCCAGTGAATCACTAGATCTCTTTCTTCTTGCGTCCGGGCTATGTGTTCGACAAGTGATCTTTTGATGGGAATCTGGTCATATTGGACTAATTAGTAACAGATCTGAGGCTTTGATGGACACAGTTTAAGTAAATGTTTCCATGCAACTGTCAGACTCCTTATGCCAGGCATTCCTTGTGGTTTTTGTGCTATACATTTTTGGAAATCCTCACACTGAATCAACATCCGAGGCGAGATTGATTGCTGACCCTGTCTTTTTTGAAGTCGGGGTGCTCGTGTTTTTTCAATCAAATGCCTTAAAATCCGGAAACTCAAATACGTAACAGACAGAGATATTGAACAACTCTCGTGTACATTTCGTAAGTGTCTGATAGAATTGATGCTGAGGTGCCAGGAAAAAAGCTGCACTGGAAAATTGCCCTGCCAACCAAACTTACATCTTATACAACAACGACACATGCTTCGTTCAAGTCAGGGCTATTACAGATGTGTTAATGTGACCCATTCAGACTCCAGCCCTTCTTTCCACAGTTTCTTTGCCTTTCAGAACAGTTCAGCCGAAAATGAAGAGGGCACAGTTTTTATTTTGAGGTTTTTCAGTTTCTTAGTCCCATGGGGCAAATGATTGACACTTAAATACTGACGACAGTGCAAAATATTTCCCATATGCCCGAGGATTAGGCAGCAAAGAGAAGACATTCTGCCCTGTGCACCATATGTTGGAGATAAACGCAAAGAGAAATTAAGTCCAAGTCTGAGTATGGGCATGACTAAAAAATATTTTACGTTATTGCATTTAAAATGACTCTTTGACTAAAAGCATCTGAATCTATAACTGTAATCCACTTTCAAGCATGTGGCAACATTATTTTCTTCTATTTACACAACATTGTTTAAGCAGTCAAATAAACCTCAAGTTTCTTGTTCAGCTGTAAACAATTAATTGAGTTTGTCTTTGTTTTGTACTGCATGTGCAACACATTTAATGACACAATATTCTGGATTCAAATTATCCAAGGTGATTGATAGCTGTATGAGATCCATGTTTTTAATTCCCTCTGTCATTGATGTGGTTTAGGGAAGGTAGACAAAATTACAGGATGGAATATTACCAGTAAGTGCAATTTATTCCCTCCTTCGGGACATGAAACTACATGTCATCCATGACTCAAAATGCTGATATGCTTGGATTTGTCTACTTCACAGAGATCTGTCACTCTGTACTCAAGTCAGACTGGCAATATGAATTTACAGTATGAGCCAACAGCACAATCACCACTTACTAAGACAGATATAAAATGCCCTATTGGCGTCAGATTATACAAAAATAATCAAGTAAACATCTTCAATTATCAACGTCTGGTTGCTCTCTATTCTGCATTTGTTTCCACTTACAGAGTGGTACACCACAAAACTAAAGGTAAAACTTGCTTGTTCGTGAATGTTTAGTGTCCTCTTCACTTAAACTATGTAACATTGTTTCTTAATTTACTTACACATGTTCAAATGAAATTTATCTCCATTGTATCTAGGGCTGCACAGTTAATTGCAATATTATTGAAATCCCAATATCTGCCAAAATAATCGCAGTATGGTGTTTTTACCATATTATTCAGCCCAAATAAACAAATAAAACCAAAACTGTGAATGGCTTGATACCACTAGAGGTTATTGAGAAAGTATTCTTTATGAGGAGAACAGATCTTTTTAGGAGTCTAATTTAATGTCTATATTTGGTGCAGTTCTACAACTGTTTTGTTTTCTCTATTACTCTCCAGGTACTAGAAGAAAGGATGAAGCTAGAGTGCAAGTGCCACGGCGTCTCGGGCTCCTGCACCACCAAGACCTGTTGGACTACACTTCCCAAGTTCCGAGAGATTGGCTACGTACTCAAGGACAAGTATAACGAAGCTGTGCACGTGGAGGTGGTCCGGGCTAGCCGACTCCGCCAGCCCACCCACCTCAAGGTGAAGCAAACTCAGGGCTACCGTAAGCCCATGGAGACAGACCTCGTCTACATCGAGAGGTCACCCAACTACTGCGAGGAGGACGCAGCCACGGGGAGCGTGGGCACCCAGGGACGCCTGTGCAACCGCACCTCGCCACATACAGACGGCTGCGACCTTATGTGCTGTGGGCGGGGCTACAATACACACCAGTACACCAAAGTTTGGCAGTGCAATTGTAAGTTCCAATGGTGCTGCTTCGTCAAGTGCAACACGTGCAGTGAGAGGACGGAGGTGTTTACCTGCAAATAAGGACGCAAGGAGGCGCCAAGGACTAGCTGAATGAGGAAGACTCGAGCGAGCAAGATGAAAGTGTGACCTGGACCAGTGAAAGATTTTGAAATAAAGGAATGGAATTTACACTATCAGCTCTTCATGGCATCGTTTTGCACAGCAGAATCTATCTAATTTCTTTTCAGAAAGTAAATGCTAAATATCAGTAGGTAATACCCCAGACTGTACTGTCACATAGAGATTGTGCTCATATACTGATGTATCCACAGTAAAGTTGTGACTACAGGTAATGAATGAGGTCCTTGTTGGGAACTGTGCTTTGCACTCTGGGATTTGTAATCGTTAAATTCACAAGAGACTCGTGCATGGAGAGGAAACACAGTAACCTGGGAGTTGATCAAAATGACAGCAGCTGATGAGGTTGTGACTGGGAGAGATTTATCAAGTCTTTGATTGAAAACTTTTAAGGGTTTTGTTATATTTTCACTAAAGGGGAACAAAAGTGAATCTTGACATGCATGACCCTGCAAATTGGCTGGGGCTTATGTTGGAGGTTTGTAGAAATGAAGAACATTTTGTAAGTATTGTGCGTCGGGGTGCGCCAAAATCTGAGTGGAGAACTCTGTTAAACCCTCTGCTGCCAACTGGAATATGGTGGAGTATGTTAGTTTTCCAGTCACACTGGAACTGTCTGTTCTGAACACTGAAAATAAATTGTTTATTTATGTTATAGTATCTTAAAACAAAGCACTAACGGGTAGAGATGTCTTTTTTGTACTAAGTGTAAAGAAAAATACTTTTTAGAAACTGACTGAAGATGTGTGTCTATTAGAAAATGACCCCCCAATCCCTAAACCACCTGAACTTTTCTTAAAAAGAAAAAAAGGTTTCATTTCTACTGGTGTGTTGACAACAAAAAAAAAACATCATTACAGTGTGTTTCACATTCAAACACCTTGGTTCCATTTCACTCTAGTATAGTTTGTTTGCAGTCCTTTTCCCTGAGCAGTAACATCTATTTGGATGCTTTTACCATTTCAGTTTATGGACAGTAGCAAGAATAATCATTTAACTGCAGAGATCCTTCCTCAATTAATTAAACATGAAACTGATATATTGCTGGATGTGTTGTCGAGTGCTGCACTGATATTTTCTATTCAGATACCACTCATGAGAACTAAATAAACTCCCATTTGACTCAGTTTGGCAGTTCATTGCTAAAATATCAATTGAAGTTGAACCTGCAGTCTGTCTTAAGAGAGACACTAAAATTATTATTTTCAAAATATTTGTTAAGCTGTGATCAGTGGAGTGATGATTAGTTACAACTACACACCCATGCATAGCAGAGGTAACAAAACCTATAAAAGAGATTATTATTTAGTCTGTTATGGCGATCAAGAGTTTATAGTTCAAAGAATATTTTTTTTCACAGAACACAAGGCTAACATGAGTTAGTCATCAGACACAACGTCTGATGACTAACTCTTGTTTGTTCTCATTAGGGCTATAGGGGAAATTTGCTCCTAATTTGCTCTGTTCTGCCACAACATTAAAGTTCTCCTATTTAAGGAGTATTTCTGTCAGCTATAATAAACTTGTACTCACCAAAGTAATTTCTGAAATCTGGGAAGAAAGTGATACAATAAACTCGGACAGGGCAAAACTAAATAATTCAAATGATGAAAACAGTCTGTCAACTGTGATGGACAAGTCTGTGATGAACAGACAGTTTGGGCAAAAATATTATTGTTCACCTTTTATAACTTCAGCTAACCTCCTTTTAGCTTTGTCTCAGCATTCCCATATCATTTCTATAAACGTGGTAAGAATAATTGTATCATAATTGATAGGAATGATGGCCAAAACTATAAAAATGAGTTGCTGTAACAGTTTCTTGACAAACAACAATATCTCTGTGCAGCACCTCCACTGGTTGCTGGTGATAAGTCAGTGCTCCCTGATGTTGTTCTGTAATAAATTATTATGTTACAGCATAACTGCCCGACAACCATATATTACCCTTTATATATTTATGTTTATTTCTGTGATTTGACAGATAGAAATACATTGTGTTTGTTAAGCTTTAGGGATGTTGGTTGGTGTATTTCTGAACTTTGGAGAGAGTCATGGTAGCTGTTTCACTCTGCTAAGCTAAGCTAATTGCCTCCTCCAAATTTGATGCCCAAACATGAGAGCGGTATTTTCTCATCAAACTGTCAGCAAGAAAGTAATTAAGAAAATTTCAGATTTATTCATTGAATTCATAAATCATAAATCGTAGTCTAACACTTTGCTTTGGGCTGAGAATGTGCAGTGCTTTGTTGCACTTTATGTTATAACCACTTTTTGTTGACATATTCATGTTCTTGTTGTCTATTCAGCTTTAATACCATATTTTTCAAGGTCATGTGAGTTTACAGACTATATAGGCCAGTTTATATTTTGGTTTACATATTAATTAATAGGTTTAGAATGTATTATAACTTTTGCACATTAATAATACCCATAGATTTTAGAGATTTAGAGACTGAGGTAGCCTAGTCTTGCACTTTGCATAATTAATCGAAGTATGTGCATCAGTCTTATTTTATTTCAGTAGAGGTGCTACTCAGATGGATCAAATACAGTTTTCATGTTAATAGATTTGCATATTTACTGAGTTAAAGTAACTTATTAATATAACATATCTAGCATACAGCTTCATTCTGACATTTATATTATCTTCTGAAATAGATTAAAATTTCATTTGACAAGGATGCAAATACATTTCCACACATAAAAAGCTGATGTGTCTTTAATTTAATAATGATCTGTATTATGAAACATACAGCCTATTCTTGAACCCTGAGTAAGGAATCTGCATTCTTCATTTTATTGCTCAATGCATGTTGGTACAAGAATGTTCCTGTTCAGTGTTCAGTTGCCCATATTGAATGTTCCAACAAATATCCAAAGCTATTATTTTCATAAATTCCCTCCCTTTGAAGAAAACACACACATTAAATCTCATTGTGTGTGTCCAGATTTGATGCCAAACTTTATATAGAAGTCTTTTATTCAAACATTCCAACTACGCTTAATATAGTAACTGGCAAATGCATTAGGAAGCATAAATCATTAAAAATCAAAAATAAATAAATCAAGCAGTGTGCTGACTTTGACGTTATTTTGTACACAGCACATTTTCGTCGTATGCTGTGGTCTTCTGTCTTGATTGTGGCACGCACGGAACATAAGTTAATTATCTCTCCCAGCATGGAAAGGAGCCTCTTCTCCATGTCTGTGTCAAGCAGAAATGTGATCAGAAACACAGAAAGAGAGGGAAAAAAGCACAAAGTTACAAGGATTATGGAAAAAAGTTTTTCCGTTAAAAATGAAAAAAGCAATGCCCCCCACAAAATAAATCCCTAGTAACCATGCAAAATGTGATTCATCAAGTTGGAATTGGTTATTGTGTAAGAATGAAAAGCACTCATGCTGTTTTTTCAGGGTAATTGGGACTGTCTTACTTGGGTGGTCACAGCCACCTGTGACACCCTGAGTAACTATTTAACTCATCACTTTGCATGTTTATTTTTTGTTTTGATTGGAACAGCAGATGATATTAGAAGTGTATTCTCCATGACACTCAGGATAAACTGAATGAGGATTTAGGATGACAGAATAACTGAACACTCGAGCCTTTCCTCACGCTTTCTGTGTTGGCAGAGCCGTTTGGAGTCATTAAATGGGAAGAGGACCTTCATGCAAATGACCTGATGTGAATAGGAAGTGGCTCAGTGTGCCTCTTGTTTTTAGACACACAAACAAGAGTGTAGTTCTTTTGTGAGGGTGTTTTTGAGATGGATGGGATGGCTTGATGAAACAAGGAGGTGCATGTGTAGCCGGAAACTGCATGTGAAAAGAATGGTTATTTAGGAGGGGAGCTAATTGAGAGTGGTTTGGAGAAAGAGTGGGTACACTATATAAGTAGGAGCAGCTGTCGAACCAAGTTAGGGACTAATTGTAAAGCATGGCAGAAGATATGGTAAAACAGTTTTCAGTTTAGGAATAATTTTATGACAGTTAATTCTTACTCTTTCCAGCTTGTGATTTATTCTATGGTACTTTCCAATTCTTCATTGACTTTTATTGTTAATGTTGCTGATCACAGAAAAATAAAAAGCATAGCAGTTGATAGATGTCTGCATTTTCTGAGGCAGTGACGGATTTCAAAATCTGATACTTAAAATTATTTATATCATTCATAAATGACCATTTTGGACATGATCACTGTCAGTGGTTCAATCCAACTCTTTCTATGAAGTAGCTCTGTGAAAGAGAGCCATGCTATTTCATTCATTTGCTGGACGCTCCCACTTGTCCTCCTGTATGTGAAAAGCATTGTAGGCGGGCAGCAGAGCAGAAGTAAGATGTGTTTTGTTAGTTGTCTGAAGCCCTGGGGACCGGAACCACATAAGCTCCCCATACTATGCCCCGGATTGAGAAAAATAAATCCATTTGTTTTTTGACAAACATTTTGTCATTAAAAATATGAGATAGAAAAACAGAGTCTGCTGCGTGTGCCATCTTTTAAAGCAGCTATTGTTTGGGTGTCAGGATCATTAGTTCATTGGGATATATTCTGCAAGATAATGCTTCTGGTCTGATTCACACTAGGAGCGACGCAGCCACTTTTGCAATTCAGGGCCTAGTTGGGAGGAAATATAGCCGCAAGGTAACATAACCACTGACATCACTGCTAAAGATGTAGTTTAAGTCTGCCAAGGCCCCACATTAACCATATGCAAATGTATCATATGATCCTGCTATTCAGAGTTCACTGGCAAGACATATCAGAGTCTTTAATGCATTGGGAAACCAGGGTAGCTTCAACGGACTCAAGACAGGATGTGAAAGAGTCATGAGACTGCCAGTTTTCATTTGCACAGATTGAAGAGAACAGGAAAGACAGAACAGTGGGAGTTTGTGTATACAAGTGATGGTAAAATAATTTAAACCGATAAAGTAGCTCAGAACAGGTCGATCCCCCTAAATGATTTTCTTCTTTGGCTGACAAAATCTTTTACTATTTATTTATAAGAGAATTTATAATGGCTGTCTGTGTAATTGAATGGATCTTAGCCAAGGGCAAATATAAAAGTTTTAGTTGAGATTTTTTTGTGCTTGTTGAGAGCAACATTTCTTTATGCCAAGTCATTTTTTCTAATTTCCTTCCCTGTTTTGTGAAGTGACAAAAGCCCTCCCAAATTCCTTTGAATTAGCTCCAACATTCTGCCTGCTCTTGTAATTTGTTACTTTGGCAAAATGAGACAGCAACGTTCAGATCAGAAGCTTGGCCTCTCAGAGATAAGACACATCTGTGAGAGTGGGAGAAGAGAAGCAAGGGTGGCAAAAAAATAAATTACCCAAATGAAGGGATGAAATAAAAAATCGAGGAGTCAGAGGTCTTCTGAGCTGATGCTTGAGAATAGCCAGATACAAAGTGAGAAGAAAAGGATTGTTGTTTTCCAGACGCCGCACTTCAATTACAGACTTCTGCTCAGTCGAGGAAAAGGATGTTTAACAGTCCCATGGATCATGAATTATTCTGGGGCAATCCCTTAAGTCTTGTTTGTTATTCCAGGATGTGAAGGCTTTGGTTAAGGTGACACAAACATGGAAGTACTACTGTGCTGAAGATTTTAGCAGCCCTCAACATGGAAATGCATATCGTCTTTGTGATAATGCAGGTTTAAAATGTTAAAGTTCTCAACAAAGCAGAAGAGCACACAATAAAGTTTAATGCTGCCCGCAACACAGCCTGCAGCAATTAAGGCTGTGTTGCGGTATAATGTATAGTCATTTTTTTCATGTGATCGCTTGGTGTTTTTCTGTGTTCCTTTAACTTTGTTTTGACTGCTTGTCTTA